GAACCAAAGAGAGCATAGCTTCGCCAGCATATGACAATCATCATACATTTGGAAGTATTGGCTTATAAAGGATTGGGTTATCACCCTTACTGCACAGGTATCATAAGCCGGTAGTACGATTCAATATTACAGGTATGATATTATTTATACATGATTATGTTTAAACCGGCCCTGGCATTTCACGTTAAGTCGCCAGGGCATACGTTGTTTAAACTCTGTGCAGGATTTGCAGAACTATGACTTATATAAATGCTTAAGTCCAAGCTCATTGATGCTTCAAAATGATTATCCATTTCCAGATTTTCTCAAAGGCTATAAGCCGTTGGGTTATAAAATCCCGGATTGCAATGAATGCGCATTAAGTCGCCATTGGCCAAGAGCCACTGAGTATTTAAACTCCGGTTTTACTTGTCAACCGATAAGGTATTACAATCTTTAATAGCCAAACTTGGCTAGATTGTCATGATGATATTGGAGGATTGAGGTTTTCATATCGGATTATATTCTTCAAATCTTGAATAGCCAACATGGCTGGATTTTTATGGTTATCAATAACCAAGTATTACGATTGAGGTTTTCAAAGTCGCTTTAGCACAGTGGCTATTGTTTTATTAATGGATATGATTTGTTCTACAATGGAAGGAAAAGTCCCGAGTCGCTGTAGGCTTACAACCCTGCACTTGGGGGCTATATTATTCAAATTGAGATTACATCGAATATGCAAGTCCCATGTCACTGTCAGCATGCACCATGGCACTTGGGGGCTAATGCAAAGTCACTTTTACTAACCTTATTGTAGACCCGACTCATCACATTGTACTGAGCCGGCCCTTGGGGGTTACCAATTGCTCCTGTCAACAATTCAAGGTACAAAGCTTTTAATCCATTATATTGAAGGGTCCACTGCTCAGTTGGTAAAGCACAAGGCTCTTAACCTTGTGGACGTGGATTCAAGCCCCATGATGGGGGTTACATCATATGATATTATTTTTAATGAAGTATATATAAAGTCCCAGCTCAATATTATCTTACTGAGCCGACCCTTGGGGGCTACACGTTGTTGTTCCAATTTACATGATCATATTTATAAAGTCTCTGCTCATTATTGCATAATAACCCGGCCCTTGGGGGCTACACTGGTTGAAGTTTTTTGAGCATCAGGCTATTACAAGTCCCAGGTTGCTGCAAGCATGACAACCCGGCACTTGGGGGCTACATAATATGGAGTATTCAGTTTTATTAGTGGCTGAGATGAACAACATGGATTTCTTCAAAGTGGAAGTATTTATATTGAAGCAAGTCTTAAGTTATCACTTTGTTCTGCTCAAGACTTGGGGGCTACAGCTAATATGGATATAAGATCGATTACAAGACCCGGTGTCAACAACAATTATGACCCGGCAGCGTCTGTTTTATCACCCGGCAATTTTGATAATAATAAACCGGCAAGTTTTACATCTTCAAGTCGGTTGAAAGTCAGATGAGTATTTCAAGACCAACATTTTTTTAATCCGGCGCTTTGGAAGTCGGTTCAAGTGGATTATTTCTTACAATATTTCTCTAGAAGAGACCAATGTCAGCAAATTGACTCTGAAGTTGGCTTATTGACCCGGATTTCTCAAGAAAAGTATCTGGATTTTTTGCATTCACAAAGTTTGAACGTATCTACTAAAGGAGATTTGCTATGAGTTCATGGGCATGTATCAAGAAGGAAATGACAAGGACTTAAAGATGATCAGGTGCCGGTTTACAAGAATTTTTAACCCGGAGTACGACTTGTCAAGGTTGTTCTTGTGTTTGTTTTACAGGATCAATTTAACATGGATAAATCCAAATTAAACTGGGGGCTAATGTCGGGGATATACCCCGCGGCGCAACCCGGCCGGAAGTATAACCCGGACGGACTTGGCGATTCACCAGCGACCCGCACTGACCACCAGACGGTTTACAAGCAACCTGACTGAACATTATGACTCACTAGTAATCCGGTGGGCGGGACAGACGGATGACAAGGCCCAAGGCCCAGAAAGCCGGTTTATGTTAATGGTGGGCCGGTTTAAGAGAAAAGGTGTGAGGAATATTTCCCTTACAAGGAGTCAAGACCCGGACTTGTATCCGGTTTATATTAGAAGATAGACTAGTCCTAATCCTAATAGGACTCCACATGTAATCCGCCCCTTCAACATATATAAGGAGGGGCAGGGTTCCCCAAAGAGGGACAAGCAACAAGCAAGAAGCTCAATAATCTATAGGGCTAGACACAACCAAAGGGGGAGCCGGCTTATGCGGCGACTCTCTCATGAGCATAATGAGATCTAGCCACAAACAGCATGTAGGGCTATTACCGGATGATGTTTCTCGGGGCCCGAAGCTGTCTAAATACTTGTCTTATGTTGCGTCTCTCAATTCCGCTCAACCCCTCTCAAGCTAGTACAAAGATGCGTTGGCCCTACGACTAAGTCCTCACACTAGGACATCTGTCGTGACAATTCAACAACAGGGATGATGGAGAAGAGGACAAGAACTAGTGTCCAATTGAATACGAGTATTTGCCAGAAGTCCGCTACCCTTGCGGGATAATTGGACATGATGATAGAGCCCGTGAGATCAAACTTAAAAAGGGTGAACGCACACAGTTTGGACCATGGCTATGCACGTTTATGCCAAACCATAG